CATTTTTCAAAACTGGAACTAAAGTGCTCACTTTTCCCCTTTGCTGGCCTTCTCCCTGCAATCAGGTGTGTCTCTCCCACTCACCTGTCACAACAGCCCCAGGAAAGGTGAGGGCCACACCGAGGTCCAGGTGTTTTCTTCTGGCCCACCAGGTCCCTGGAAACAGGTGGTGAAGGGAGAGAGAGGTTTTCCGCAAAGATAATTTGATTCTCAACAATAGGAGCACTGGGCCTGCCCCTGCCCCCTCTTTCCTGGGTAACCTAGGCCAAGTCACTCAGCTGCTGTAGCCTTATTTTCTCATGTGCACGACCAGGGGGTTGAACCTGATCCTAATAATGGTAGCAGTGACCTTTACTGAGTGTCAACTATGTGTCAAGCACAAATGCCAAGGGTCTGCACGTGTTCATATCATTATGTTTTATAATAACATTTAATAATTCCTGCATTTTCTGAGCACTCACTGTGGACCAGGCCCCACCTTAAGTGCTTAACCAACCTTAGCTGCTCCTCCAATCCTTACCTCAACCCTGCATGGGATGTATGCATATCCTCACTATTAAGAAAAGAAAACAGGCTCAAAGAGCCAAGCACTAGTAGATGATTGCAAATGTTCCTGCCAGGTGCCATTCTGTAAAACTCTAATTGTACACCATCTTCTCTCTTGCCTGCTTCCTGCCCCTCCTCTTCCTTGCTCTCTCCTCCCTGGGCAGCCTTCCAGGATGTCACCGTCATGGCGGCCCTTGGCATGGGCTTCCTCACCTCATCTTTGTGGAGACACGTCTGGAGCAGCGTGGGCTTCAGCCTCTTCATGCTGGTGCTTGGGGTGCAGTGGGCGGTCCTGCTGGATGGCTTTCTGGAAAATTTCTCCCCTGAGAAGATCATCATCACACTTGCCAGGTACCCAGGTGGTGGCTGGGTTGCTTCTGGGTCCTTGAGGGCATGGAACTCAAGAGGATAGGTTCTAGAAGATCTGGGATAGCCCCTTCTCTTTCTAGCACCAATCCCATGCCATATTTAGGACATCCTTATACTAAAAGATGATTTATTGCCTATCTGAACCTCAAATTTAACTGGGCATCTTGTATTTTATCGGATGACCCTACTCTGTGATATCACAGTGGGTTCAAGTCTACAGCCCTCTCTGCATTCTTTTTTTAAAGGATTGATTATGATTTTGTAAAGTTACAATGTTGGTTCATAAATAAATTAAGAAAAAAGAGATTAGTCAAAAAGAAATAGAAATGTCACACCCAGAGACAGTCTCTTGAAAAGAAAAGATCTTAGTCCACAAATGCTGGTGGCCAAGAAATAGCCAGGCCCTTGCTTTCCTTAGATTTTTTTTTCATAACTGTGTACATTGATGCATTTATGGGGTTCAGTGTACTGATCTGATATATAATGTGAAAAGCTTACATCAAATTAACACATCCATCACCTTGCTTTCCATAGATTAACTATGATCTGTTCAGATGAATTTTACATGAGACCTAGCTAAACTAAGAACGAGCAAAAGTAAGCCATGGTGCCAGAAGTCACAAGTAGTTCCCCAGGCAAGGAGGTGGATGTTGAATAGGAAGGGGTGCAAAATAGCCTTCCAGGGTGCAGAAAATGTTCTCTATGTTAACTTGGGCAATAGTTACACGTCCAGCTATACAGTTTTCAAAAAGAAATTAGCACTTGATGGGAGGAGGTAGGTTAAATTTTTCCTTAAACGTTGTTTTTTGTTTTTTTCGTTTTGTTTCATTTTAGCCAATTTTGAATCTCTGCCCTGCCTAGATGCTGGTAAATCCTCACTGTAGGTGTCTTGGAGATTGCTGAAGGCCACTCTAGGATAGGTAGTGCCCAGGCCTGCCTCTGAGGACAGGGCACTCTCTCTTGGCCTCACTTGGAGGGTTCTGCTTCAAGTCCATTCAGGGCAAGGGCCTGTTTTATTCAACTTTGTTCCAGTTTGTCCTTCTTTGTTTTCTATCTTTCTTCTTCTTCTTTTTTGAGACAGAGTCTCACTCTGTCACCCAAGGGAGAGTGTTCACAGCAACCTCAAACTCTTGGGCTTGAGCAACCCTCTTGCCTCAGCCTCCCCAATACCTGGGACTACAGGCATGCATCTACTACTACTACATCTGGCTAGTTTTTCTCTTTTCAGTAGAGACAGTGTCTCACTCTTGCTCAGGCTGATCTCAAACTCCTGAGCTCAAAGGAATCTCCTAACTCAGCCTCCCAGAGTGCTCGGATTACAGGCATGAGCCACCGCACCCAGCTGCTTCTTTGGGTTTTTTTTTTTTCACATACTCTGAGACCCTGCTAAACCTCTGGGCATGGCCGTGAAACACCTCCTGCATGAGCCAGGCACTGTGCCAGGCACTTCACAAATATTTTGTTTAACTCTTCCAGGTGGGGGTTGTCTGGCATACAGATAAGGAAATGGAGGCTCAGAGAGGGTAAAGCACTACCCATGGCCACACAGCTCAGTGGTGGAGACAGCTTCAGCTTTTAACTATCTGTAACCCTTCCCACACTCTCCAGAGTGATCACACATGATATACCATCCAGCCAGCTTCCCATTGGCCCCGGGTAGGGGAATTCTCTACATTTTCCCTTTTTAAAAGTGTTAAAGGTAATCCCCATCTGGATTTGATAATCCCCAGTATCCACTTGGGAAGTGACAAAGGGCATTCTGGGGGAATTCTGACAGTGGTGGCCCTGGTCTGGCATTTCTGCTGCCCTGGCTTAAGGTCACATAAGCCTTTACCCTCTGCCCCATGGCTGTCTGGGCTGATTTCTTTCTGATGTCTGCAGGGACCTGTTTGTTCACTCAGTCCAGGAAGACAAGATGGGGCCATTGGCAGCCTGAGTAAACTCCCCTGCCCTACCCCTGAGCACTGGACCTTCCTAGCTGTGACACCTGCTAGAACTGGCTTTGCAGATTTGAACATTGGGCTCCTTCCAGCTAGGGTAGGGCTGATGGGCAGTGCCCAGGCCTGCCTCTGGGGACAGGGCACTGTCACTTGGCCTTACTCCAAGAGTTCTGCTTCGAGTCCCTTCAGGGCAGGGGCCTATTTTATTCAACTTTGTCCTTCTTTTTTTTCTTCACATACTAAGAACTTAATAATGGTTATTAGAACAGAAATGAAAATAAGGGGTGGCGCCTGTGGCTCAAAGGAATAAGGTACTGGCCCCATATGCCAGAGGTGGCACGTTCAAACCCAGCCCTGGCCAAAAACTGCAAAAAAAACAAAAAACAAAAATGAAAATAAAAAGAAACTAAAAGTATATTTTTAATGCTCTATTTTGAAAGGTTCAAGAGGACTCTCCCTGGAAGATAATAGCAATATAGTAGCAATATCCGACCCCCTTATTGTGTTTGCCATCTGTTACCTCCCTTTGCCCTCACAACCACTCCAGAGGCATTGCCTCCACCTGATAGGCACAGAGTGATTAAATAATTTACCTAAGATCACACAGCCAGAAAGTGGCTGGATCAGGATTCCAGTCCTGGCAGCCCAGACCCAAGACTGCATTCCTAACCAGTGCACTATCTCAGCACCTTCCCAGCTGGCACTTATGATCTGAAATACCACCACTGGCACACAAACTGCTGAATTAAGCCCTTGTCAATGAAATGAACACTCACCTAAAAGGCACACCCTCTCCGGGCATGGTGGAAGGTTGAGTATCCCCTTATTCTGAATAGCTCCTGGTCCCTAGAAGGCCGCTTGCCTGTGCCCTTGGCCCTTCTCTGACCTCCCTCTGAAGTCCTTGAGCTTTAAGCAGGACTCTGTCAGCAGCAAACACTGGGGAAGCTGTGTCCTGACTTCAGAACATGGTTTGGAGCCAAGCAGGCTGAGTTGAAACCTTATATTTGTCATCAACTTGCTGTGTGGCCATTGCCCCAAATTCAATTTTTCTAGTCTCAATATCCTCTTCTATAAAATGGGTTTACTGAGGGGTAACCTATCACCATTTTATAGAAGGTCTTCAAAGAATCAAACTTTAAATGAGTTATAAGCCTGTTATGCATAATGCTCAATAAGTCATTATTATTATGGTTGCTGTGGTGGTAGCATTATCATCATTAACTCCCAGGAAGAGGAGGGAGACTCAGAGCAAGGTGCTCAAGAGAGAGTGGATGTCCATGGATTGTCCAGCCCCATGCCGCCTCCTCCAGGAAGTCCTCCCTGATGATGTCAGCATCGCTTTCTCCTTCCAGTGAACCCTTCCAGCTTTGTGATAGCACAGATATTCTTAGTCAACAAGTTCATGGTATAAGCCCTGCCTCCCTGGCCAGATCATAAGCACCTTGAAGACAAGAGTTGTTTTCGGCTCCTGAACCCCACACTGAGTGTGTTCATTTGTCAAGGGAAAGCAGGAATCAGTAATAATGTTATAATGCCAACTTCTATTTATCAGTTAGTTCAGTGTACTGGTCTCAGTGCTAGACACGCCTGTAGGAAGAATATCCCTTCAATCTCCACTGCCCTACCATGGGATAAATATTATTATTATTTTACAGGAGAAACAGGCTCAGTGAGATCAAATAGCTGCTCAGGTGGCAAGGCTGGGACTGGATGCCCATGTCCTACTTCCAAACCCAAGTCTCTTTCCATGGACAAAGATGGGGTGACTGTACGGGTGGGCCAGTGGGTGGAGAGCGCCCTCTATTGAGCATCTGTGAGTAATGATGGCAGAAAGAATCTGTGGGTGGAGTCTCAGGTGTCAGATACTGAAAGGGAGCGCTGAGAGAAGACTCAGCCTCCTTACCTCACCTCTGAGCATCCTCAATATGACCAGTGTGTGCAGATCAAACTCTCAGCGTGTAGAGGCCATCTTGGTGGGCAAAGGGACAAAGGAAACTCCGGATGAAAGCATCAGCCCCCATGTGGATAGAAATCTTATCTCCTGCTGCGTCCCCTGTGTCTTGAATAGTGCCAGGGAAAGAACAGGTGCCAGGCAGTATTTGTTGAATGTTGAATAAATGAGCAGCATCCCTCCTTCTCAGTCATCCTGGCTCTCCCTTTCTCCCCCAGATTTCAGCAGGCCACCATGAGCGCTACGTCGGTGCTGATTTCAGCGGGTGCCGTCTTGGGAAAAGCCAACTTGGTGCAGCTGTTGGTGATGGCGCTGCTGGAGGTGACAGCCTTTGGCACCATGAGGACGATCAGCAAGCGTTTCCTCAGTGTGAGTCACAGTGCTGTGAGGAGGGGCCTTGGGGAAGAGGGGTGAGAGGGTGGACAGAGGCCCCTACCTCCATTTGGTCAGGCTTCTGGGATTTTGAAAAATATAGACAGGCCCAGATGGGCTTACAAAAATGTGATTTGTGCCAAATGATGGTACACAGTAAATAGATGCTTTTCACTTCAATGATACGATCCTACAGGATTATGCTATTCACGAGTTAGTTATGTGTTGTGTACAAAGAGTATTAGTTCCCAGGACCCCACTGGCAGTGGTCACAGCAAGCTGTATGGCAGTGTCTTCTTTCAAACCGGTCAGTGTGTGTCAGTGACTATGCATGTGATCTCACTGGGACAGATTGTCAAGCCTGAATTTGAAGCCTACTGTGAAGGGGAGGCCAGTCCACACGGCTCTCCCAGCTCCTTGGCCATCACTTTGAACCTCTCCATCTCACCCGTGAGAAAGCTGATGTCCAGAGAGAGGAAAGCAATAAGCATGCATACTTAGCAAGATAGTGGCAGGGCCCATATGAGAACCCAGAGTCCCAACCTGGTGTAGGAGAAAGAGCATAGGACTTATTGTCAAAGATTGGGGTGTGTATCCCATCTCTACCTTAAACCCCCAAGTGACTCTGGGCAATTTAACCCCTTAGAACAGTGATTTTCAAATAGTGTGCTGCAAACACTTTTAAAGATCATTAATTAGGGTGGCGCCTATGGCTCAAGGAGTAGGGCGCTGGCCCCATATACCAGAGGTGGTGGGTTCAAACCCAGCAAAAAAAAAAAAATAATAATAATTTGAAAAAGACTGGGTGGTGCCTATGGCTCAAAAGGATAGGGCTCTGGCTCCATATGCCAGAGGTGGCAGGTTCAAACCCAGACCTGGTCAAAAAATAAATAAATAATAATTTTTAAAAGATTTATTATTCTTGAAAGAAGTTCAAAGCACAGTAAGTATATACTTGTTTTTTACTATTTTTTATCAAAATAATGTAAATGTGCTGCAGAAGTTTAACTATAGGTTCAAGTATGCTGTGAGATTAAAAAGGTTGAAAAACACTGCCTGAGAGCTTCAATTTCTTCTTTTTATTGAGACAGAGTCTCACTTGCTTGCCTTGGAAGAATGCCATGGCATCATAGTTCACAGCAACCTCAAACTCCTGGGCTCAAGCTATCCTCTTGCTTCAGCCTCCCAAGTAGCTGAGACTATAGGCAGCCACCATAATGCCTGGCTATTTTTTAGAGACAGGGTCTTGCTCTTGCTCAAGCTGGTCTCAAACTCCTGAGCTCAAGCAACCCACATGCCTGAGCCTCCCAGAGTGCTAGGATTACAGGTGTGAGCCACCAAATGCAGCCCCAGAGCTTCAGTTTCTTCTTCTATAATATAAGGAGAACTACCATATAGGGTTGGGGGAGTAATTGAATAATTACATGAGATGATGCATGTTTACCCCCTTTCCCCCCAAAAAGCATGAAGCCTCTTTGCTAGACTTCATTATCCCAGAGTAAGGATTTTGGATTTTACTCTGAGAAATACAGGGAACACTGGGGAATTTGGGGCAAAGGAGAGCTGATTTGACCTGCATTTTAGGAGAAACACACTGGCTGCTAGAGGGGAAAGGGAGGACACAGATGGAAACCTAAGAGGTAGCAATGGTAATGATCCAGCCTTGGACTGGGGTGATAGCTGTAAGGGTGGGAGGAGGCTGGATCCCAGCTGCCTTCTGAGGGCAGAAGGGACAGGATTTGCTAACTGACTCATGTGGGGTGTGAGAAACAGAGAAAAGTCATAATGACTCCAAGGTTTTGATCTGGAGCAACCGGATGGACGATGATGCCATTTCCTGAGATGGGGAGCCTTGGGGTGGACTAGATCTGGGAGGGAAAAGCCAGAGTTTTCTGTACATCATGGTGGGGTTAAGGTGAAGGCTAGAGATGTGTATGAAACATCCCAGTAGAGATGCTGCATAGAAACGTACAAGTGTGGGCTGGGTGCAGTGGCTCACACCTGTAATCCCAGCACTCTGGGAAGCCAAGGCAAGTAGATAGCTTGAGTTCAGGAGTTCGAGACCAGCCCGAACAAGAGCAAGACCCCATCTCTACTAAAAATAGAAAAAAACCTTGCTGGACACTGTGGCGGGTGCCATAGTCCTGGCTATTCAGGAGGTTGAGGCAGGAGGATCACTTGAGCCCAAATGTTTGAGGTTGCTATGAGCTACACCCTGGCACTCTACCCAGGTGACTGAATGAGACTCTGTCTCAAGAAAGAAAAGAAAAGAAACATACAAGTCTGAAGCTTAATGGAAAGGTCAGGGCCAAGGATATAAATTTGGGGGTTCTTATGGTATCGGTGGTGGATAAGGCCATGAAGCCCAAGTAGATCATGCAAGGATGAATATCAATAGAGATGTGGAGTCTGCGGACATAGCCCTAGAGCATCCCACATTTTCGATGGGGACAGGAGGCAGAACCAGCTAAGGAGGCTGAGAACTGTGGCTGGAGAGGTAGGAGGAGAACCAGGAGAGGGCAGAGTCCTGGGAGGCAGGTAAAGAGAGTGCCTGACATGGGTTCAATGCTGCAAAGAGGTCATGTAGGATGGGCGCTGAGAGTGAGCCTTGGATTTGACAGGGGACCTTGACTGAATATGATTTTGGAAGAGGGTGACAGCAAAAGGCTGACTTGACTGGTTTCAGAGTGGGGGATGGGAAGTAGAGAACGTGGGGAGGCAGCTTCTGAGGGTTTTGCTGGGAAGAGGAGCAAAGAAGGGGAGAAGCCAGAGGGCAGAGTGGGGCCCAGGCATATTTTGTTTATTTACTTCAGATAGGTGATGTTACATGCCAGTTAGAATAATCTAGTAGAGAAAAAAAAATGGATGATGCAGAAGAGAGATGACTTGAGTCTTTGAGTTGGAAAGAGGCAGTGGGATTTTGTGCACTGATGGCTTTAGGCAGATGCAGGGGAAGCGCCTTAACAGGCTGGACGGCAGGGAGTGTGGACAGGTTGGCATATTTGGTGGTGGGGACTTGTAGGTCCAGTTTCCTACAGGGAAAGAATTCTCTATTTCTCCCCTATAGTTTCTCAAAGAAATGAGGCAAAGGCATCAGCTGTGTGTGAAGATGAAGAGGAAGGAGGGAACTGGAGGGGAAGGAGTGGGATGGGGTCATCTGTGTGAATGGAAGCCAGGGAGAAGACCAGAGAGGTGCAGCAGGGCTGCAGCTGGCCCAGGGTCCCTAGACACGATGGCCCATGGAGAGTGAGCCAGGGATCAGAGCTGTGTGAAGCTGCTCTGGGCAGGTGGAAGAAGCAGACTTGGACTTGCCCAGCATGGGGTGCTGCCGAGAATTAGCCCAGAGACCAAGAGAGACCCAAAATGGGGCTGTTTTAAAGGGGGAGGATGCAACATTGGGTCATGGGAGTGAAGCTGGTTTCAGAAGGAGTGAGAATGTGACACAAACAAAAGAGAACAAAAATGGGGAGCCTAGAGGTGATGAGCACTCTGTATGGAGTCTGTGGCCAGTTGGCAGCCTAGGCTCAGATCTCAGCCCAATCCACACTAGCTGAGTCAATCTGGGCTGCTTAGTTATCCTCCATGGGCCTCAGTTTTCCTATCTGTAGAATAGGGATACAATAGTACTTCCTACTTCTTAGGGCTATTGTGAGCGGTGAACAAGTTAAGGAAGTGTGTAGAACAGTGCCTGGCATAGGGTAGGTGCCGTGGCAGGCTGTTATTTTTATGACTGCCATTGTTATCAGGCAATTGCAATTGTTGAAGTTGATTGCAGTTGTCGAAGTGGGGAGATCTAAGGAAGTGAGCCAGCCAGACAGGAGGTGGTGTGTCATAGTTGGGATGCTTGAAACCGAGTTTCTGGAGGCAGAGCAGTTACAGGTCATGACAAGGTTTTAAGCTTTGATTGTGGATGTGGGTGGCAGAAGTGTCATGGAGGGAAAGGTATGAGAGGAGAGAGGTCAATGGCCCAAGAGGGGAGGATCTGGGTGGACCAAGATGATGCCTGGGGAGGATGGTGGAGAGAAAGGCTGAAGGGCACTGCTGACAGCTGCAGTGACCAGGAGTGGCCAGGAGGCAGAGAGATGACCACAGTAAGATGACCACTCTATCCAGAAACTGTGACGGCATCTTCTTCGGGGGATGTTTGGGGAAGAAAAAAGAAAAATGGTCTGTAAGGGAATATTGTAAATTCTTTTTTTGTATTAATTTTTGATTCTGTGCATCTGTACGTACTACTTTAATTCCTAAATACTTTAGTGTAGCATTCCTAAAAGCAGGGACATTCTCTTACATAAACATTGTTCAGTTAACAAAAGCGAGAAATTAACATAGATACAATATGATTACTTTATTCACATTTTACTGATTGTTTCAAAACATACTATCTATTAAAAGAAAAAAAATGTTTTTTTTTTTCTGGTCTGGGATCACACCTTGCATTTAGTTCTCACGTCTTTTTACCCTCCATCAATGCCTGGAACAGTTTCTTCTTCTTTCTTTGTCTTTTATGAGCTTGATATGTTATAAGCCACTTATTTCATAGAATGTGGGCTTGTCTACTGCTTAGGGTATCCATTTTTGTTAGTAATTCCACAAAAGTGATGTATGTCCTTCCTAGTGCATCATGTCAGGAGACATGGTGTCAATTTGTCCCATTACTAGGCATGTTAACTTCGATCACTTGGTTAAGATGGTGTCTGCTAGGATCTTCCACTATAAAGTTACTAATTTCCCCTTTGTAATTAATAAGCATCTAGCGAGGAAATAATTTCCCATAAAATCCTGCCTTGGGCTGGGTGCAGTGGCTCATGCCTATAATCCTAACACTCTGGGAAGCTGAGGCTGATGGATTGCTTTAGCTCAGGAGTTGGAGACCAGCCTGAGCAAGATTGAGACCCCGGCTCAGCACCTATGGCTTAAACGGCTAAGGTGCCGGCCTCATACACCTGAGCTGGTGGGTTTGAATCCAGCCCGGGCCTACCAAACAACAATACAGCTGCAACCAAAAAATAGCCAGGCATTGTGGCAGGTGCCTGTAGTCCCAGCTACTTGGGAGGCGGAGGCAGGAGAATTGCTTGAGCCCAGGAGTTGGAGGTTGCTATGAGCTGTGATGCCACAGCACTCTACCCAGGGCAACCGCTTGAGGCTCTGTCTCAAAAAAAAGTTAAAAAATAAAATAAGATTGAGACCCCGTCTCTATTAAAAGTAGAAAAAACTAGCTGGGCATGGTGGCGGGTGCTTGTAGTCCTAACTACTTGGGAGGCTGAGGCAAGAGGATCTCTTGAGCCTGAGAGTATAAGGCTGCTGTGAGCTATGATGCCACAGCACTGTACCCAGGGCACAGCATGAGACTCTGTCAGAAAAATAAAAAAAAGTCGGGTGGTGCCTGTGGCTCAAAGGGGTGGGGTGCCAGCCCCAGATGCTGGAGGTGGAGGGTTCAAACCCAGCCCCTGCCAAAAACTGCAAAAAAAAAAAAAAATCCTGCCTCTTCTCCTCACACTTTCACCCGCTAGTGTTGGCATCCATTGATTCTTGCCTGAACCAATCAGCACTATGATGATTGCCCATACTGGTTCTCTAATTGTGTCTTTCCTTCTGCATCCATTAGTTCACATCCTTCTGTAAGGAAGAGCTTTCACTTCTCCATCCAGCCATTTGTTCATTCATCTATTTATTTACATCACTGTGGGCTCATGAATTCATGTAGGCACACTTTTGTTTTCTGCTTTTCTCTCTGCTTAATGTGAGGATTAATTACAACTCTTTGGTTCTCAAGAAGAAAATGTCACTAGAACTGTCTTAGGCAGAATGAGAGAGATTTAGTCTAAGGACCACCCAAGGCAAGAAATGCAGCCGGCTCAGGAAGGAGCTGAAACTGGGTCTGAGAAGCCTTTATGACCCTGGGTAGTCCGTGCTCTCCAGCATTTGGCTTCTTGCCTCTCTGTACATCTAATCTCTCTGCACACCTCATTAGTGAAAAAATGTCCTGTCTGTGCACCCATCCACATGTATTCCTGCATTTCTAGGTCCTAGATACTTTTCTCTCTCAGTTAGTCTTAATTCTTTGATTCATGGAGAAAGAATCTGATTAGTCCACTGGGTCATTTATCTACTCTGGTACGACCACTTGTAACTGGCATGGAACACAGTTCACACAATAAAAACACAGCTGTCAAGAAGAGAGGCAAATTTCATCATTAACCTTTTCCTACTTTGTTATGGCTTTTATAATGATTGTTTTAAAAGACTGTATTAATATAACATTATCTACTCTCTGCAGCTTCAACTTGCTAGTTTAACTGGTCTGGGGGAAGGCTTAGCACTGATTCTGGGAGTTTGCATCCTCAGAACTTTAGCTCAGTCTGGGTTTGTTCCGTGGGAGGGATCAGGGAGAACCAGAGCTATTTCAGTGGAGGGAACTCAGGAAATGAGTGTTCCAAGCCAGCATCCCCAGGTATGGTTTCCGGAGTCCTGGAGAGCGAAGAGATGAACAGCGCAAGCCCTCTTTTCAGTTCTTACAGGGGAATTTTGTGGCTTTCATCTTTACATATGACTGAGGACTCTTTCCCATCGCTCATTCATTTCACTAATATTTATTTGGCACCTATCAGGTACCGCACACTCCCCGGGCAGTGGAAAAATACAACTCCCATGGAATTTCTATTTCAGAAGGAAAGAATGCCAATAAACAATAAAATAGGCAAAAACATACATATATCGAACGTGTTAGATAGTGATAAGTACCATAGAGAGAAAATAAAATGGAGAAAGGAGACAGGAAGGCTCGGGAAGGATGATAAAATGTTAGACAGGTGGCCAGGGAAGGTGCCACTAAGTGATTTTTGAGCACAGACTAAAGGAAGCGAGTGTGCAAGTCTCGGGGGTATCTGAGAGCAGTGGCAGATCAATGGCAGGGCAGTGGAAGGGGTTCTGCATCCACCAAGGTGAGTATTTTATCATTAGTGCTCTTAAGAATTGTTGCCACGTGGTGCTTTTAAAAGAAGACAGGCATGGCTGGGCGCAGGGGCTCACACCTGTAATCTTAGCACTCTGGGAGGCTGAGTTGGGAGGATCCCTTGAGCTTAGGAGTTCAAGACCAGCCTAAGAAAGAGCAAGACCCCCGTCTCTACTAAAAGTAGAAAAACTAGCTGGGTGACCTGGCGGATACCTGTAGTCCCAGCTACTGGGGAGGCTGAGACAAGAGGAGAGCTTGAGCCCAAGAGTTTGAGGTTGCTGTGAGCTATGATGCCACAGCACTCTAACCAGGGTGATGGAGTGAGATTGTGTCTCACAAAAAGAAAGAAAAAGAAAAGAAGAAGACAAACAATTAGCTGGTTGTATAAATGTTTGAAATCCTCTACAGATAATGCATCCCCTTATTGCTTGCACCCAGGGTGGACTACCCCCTCCATCCTGCTCTCCTTGTGCCCTTGCTGGGGGTGGGAGGGTAAGAGCATTCCAGGCAGCTGAATGACCTTAGGTGGGAACACCTGGTGGGAGGAATGGACCAGGAGGTGACCTCAGACAAGTCAGAGACAGCAGTCCCAGAGGGTCCCGTAGGTCATAGCAAGCATACAGACTTTGAGTGATATGGGAGCCACTGGAGGACTCTGAGTAGAGCAATGACATGGTCTGACTTACATTTTAACAGGGTCACTCCGCTTTGTGGAGAATAGTCAGTAGGAGGATAAGTGGAAACAGGGCACCCAGGTAGGAGGTTATTACAGTAATTTGGGGTAGCAGTGACAGTAGCTTAAATCAAGATGGAATCCGTGGAGAGAGGTGGCAATGATTCTGCCAATTCTGGATATTTTTGGAAGGCACATCTGACAGCCTTTACCAGTAGCCCAATAAATAAGTTATTAAGGATTATCAAATTTTGTGTTCATGAAGCAAAATTAGCACATATCTAGAATTTACTAAAGGCTTTAGTTTGATATCATAAAAAGTCTGGCTGCTTCATGTTGCAAGTATATATCACCCATCACTCCACACAGAGCTGAAATTCTGCTGATAAGTAGGAAGTAGTGTGTGTGGAGGGTTCCCATGGCTTTTTGCCCCATCTAAGTGGATCTCTGCCAGAAGCATTTAAGAGCTACTCATGAAGTCCAGCCAGTGGCTTCCCTGGGATAAATCCACAGCTATTCAGGGGCTCCTCTGAAGGAAAAAGGCTGAATAAGTGGGCTGGGTAAGGTCTGAACACCAGTCTCATGAGTTCAAGTCATACCTCCCACATGAAGCTTCAAACTTTCTCTAAGAAACATCAGAGTTTGCCTGTGGGGAGAGGATGTGATACTCATTGCTTCTGCTGGGTTTTGTTGTAGATGGATGACCATTCAAACATGATGCACATCTACACGTTTGCAGCCTACTTTGGGTTGACTGTGGCCTATTGCCTCTCAAGGCCTCTGCCCAAGGGAGCAGAAGAGAAAAATCGGACGGCAACGAGCCCCAGTTTGTTTGCTATGCTGGGTAAGGACAAGGTGGGGTGGGCGGGCTAAGCAGAAAGGTTCAAAAAGGTTCAGCTGAGAAATCTCTCTCTTTACTCAACTTAATTCAAGTTGGGGGACAGGGGGAGGAGGGCAGGGGTTTGGTGTGTCCCCACCTAGAGGGCACAATGTAAGGGTATATGGCAAACTTCCTGGGTGCAGGACACAATTACAACAGGGACCTTACCTAACAAACACAAACATTGTAACTTAATCATTTGTACTCTCATATTAATCTGAAATTTTTTTTTTTTTTTT